GTATCAACATTTAAGTTGGTGAGTTCATAAGTAGTGTTTTGATAAAATGTATGCCATTCGAAAGTTCGTGTATGTTTTCTAGAAAATCCGATATTTTCTTAATAAAGTGGGTTGTGAATCATTGTTGTATAAAGTGAATGTTTGAACCAGGAAAATCCTATATTTTCCTAAATGAGATGCAGTCTTAAATGACCAAGACTGTAACCTGTAAACAAATATGCCATGGTTAGAAATGAAGATGTATAAAGTGAATGTTTGAACCAGGAAAATCCTATATTTTCCTAAATGAGATGCAGACTTAAATGACCAAGACTGTAACCTGTAAGCAAATATGCCATGCTTAGAAATGAAGATGTATAAAGTGAATGTTTGAACCAGGAAAATCCTATATTTTCCTAAATGAGATGCAGTCTTAAATGACCAAGACTGTAACCTGTAAGCAAATATGTCATGCTTAGAAATGAAGATGTATAGTTTTATTATTAAGTAAAACTAGTGGTGGAAGTGTTTATCCTGAATTCTGAACATGCTGATAATACCGTATAATATAGTTATTACCCCCCGAGCATGATTGAGTTATGAATTACTACGCGCATGAGTCATTGTTTCCGCGTGTTGTGAGTTCCTCATAACCATACTAGACGCAGTACCTAATGTTGACATTTGTCACCCCGGGGACTGTAGCTAACAGTCAGGGTGCGGAGTCGTCAGCCCCGTATAGATCTATACACACTTGTCACGCTCTCCCTCCAAGAGACTCTGGTTATAGGTGGGGACTTTCTTTTGGTACAAACAAAGCCATATGACATCACATGATTGCTAACAACAAGTTCACGAGTAATATGATGAAAAATCGTTGGTATGAAATGATTTCCTTTTCTACCGTGTTACAAAGGCGTAATGATGAGTTGAGTTTTCTTGTAAAAGCATCATGTTATAGTTGAAATGGTTACCCTTGATATGATGTAGTATGCAAACGTATAAATAAAACATATTTCTATTTATAAAACATATTGTATCCCAAGAGGGTAAAGTTGTGCTGTGAGGTGTTTTGCATGATAACAACTTCATATGATAGTTAAAATAACAGTACGAAAAGTATAGCAAAAGATTGGTGTTTCACACGATTTTAACCGTGTGTTTACTTGTATTCCCCCCCTTAAAAGTGTTTCAAAAGCATTTAAAAAGCATTTATAGTGTGGTTATAGGGGTATGAACTCACTTGATAGAAGTGGTGAGTTGAAGAAGACGAGACTCAACTCGGGCAGTACTTCGACTGAAAAGAAGCAAGTTTCTCGGGATCTTCGGGACTTTGTGACTTGCGTCGTGTGTTAGAGGTGCTATCGGGGCTTCGGGGTGGTCTCGGGAGGCTTAACACAGAGTAGAAGTAGGAGAAAGGATGGAAATGAACAACCAAAGCCGGCTGCCCTCAATCCTTATTTATAGGGTGAATTTTGGGTCTCACGTCGTGAATCTCAAATATTCACGTCGTGAGTGCAGTCGTCATCAGGTGCGTCATCGCAACTTGCGTCTGTCAGGCTCCAGAAGGTGTCAGAAGTCAGTTCACGTCGTGAACACTGACAGTTTTGGGGTTTCGCGCCCGAACTTCAGAAATTCATAACTTTCGCATACGAACTCTGTTTTCGACGTTCTTTATATCCACGCGTAGGTGAGATTATGCTCTACAACTCTCGTTTAGACTCCATTGGCTAATTTTGACTTTATTTTTAATATATTTTTAATATATTATTTTTAGTAGGCCGGGACAGGAAAACTCTGTTAGAAATCCATAACTTCTTCGTCCGATGTCCGTTTTCGTCAGACTTTTTACCGTTGTAATACCATTGATGAGATCTTCGATTCTCGTTTAGGTCATGTTGGCAAAAAGTCGCTCGATCTCGATTCCGAGTTTTTAGCTGTCTACTGCTATGTCCGAAACTTCGAAAAATCATAACTTCCTCATATGAAGTCAGATTTGGGCGTTCTTTTTATGTATGTTCACGGTTTTGGGATATCTACGACTTTCATTTAGACACCTAAGGTTGAAAAGTATTTTATTGAAATTTCTCGTTTTATACTTAACAGTGTTTTACCGGTATTGTCGCGTATCTTCGATCAGTCATAACTTCTTCGTTATAACTCGGATTTTAGTGTTCTTTATAGTTTTGGAAACCTAGTTACGATATCTACCACTTAGTATACTCAATTATGGTTACTGAACAAATTTATTTTTGACCTAATTTTGCTGGTGTTACAACATGAAACTTGGGTGGTATGTTGTTGGAAGTCATATAAGGTTTCTCCATTGATTTTGTTAATATTCCTTATCAAGTATCAGTTTCTCCATTGATTATTGCTTTGTAGTTGGTAATTGTTTTTTGGAATTTTAAATAACATAATATATTTCTTGAAATTTTGCAGATTCCTTGGTATTGGTATGCTCTGTTACCATTTTTTGATATTCAGGCCAATTATGTTTATAGGTTTGCTTCTCTATCTCTTGCTTTTATTGGTGTTGTTGTAGCTCTATCAGTCATCATCTCAATGGCTTTATGTGTTGGGTGATGAAAGTTATTCATAAATGAATTATCTTGAGCTCCAACTAAACATATTTAGCTGTGCCACTAGATGGGAACAGGTAAAGAAGCTTACAAGCATGTTGGGCAACTCATCGGGAATATTTTTTTTTCCTTTTTAAATTTGAACTTATGTGATCATGGATTCCCCACATGAATTCATAAATTGATTCCAAATGAGTTATTTGTATTTAGGAATTGTTTAATGAGTTATTTGTATTCAGAAATCTAATGCATTTTTTTTTTATGTTTCCAAGATTGTTTATTATGTTTTTGGTTTTTCTTTTAAATTCAGAAACTGTTTCCAAATGGGTTATTTGTACAAAAGGGCCTTTAGTCTAGTAGTAATGAGTGCCACTCTCAAATGAGAGGTCATGAGTTCAAGTCTCGTTAGGAGACATATGTGGTTTTAGGAGTAAGTTAGTTTGCCGGTAAAAAAAAAGGTTAGTAGGCACAAATGTCACTTAAAGTCTAAACAAAGTTTAGTTATGCATTTGCATCGATTCTCTCCTTTTTGCCAAATAAAGGTGTCTTTAAAATGTTTTAGACTATAAATATGATCTAAATGCCACTAAACTCTTAACATTTGAGTGTGGCACAATTGGTTTATTACCTGATGCTTTGACGATTGCAAAAAATAAGATGGCGGGAAGGGAAAAAGAAGCCATCGAGAAGTTAACGATTGTGCTGAGAGTAATCGTTCAGGAAAGAAGAGCATTACATCAACCATGTTCCTCTGATTTTGAAGGTAGGGCATTTTCGTCCTTTTTTTTATTTTTTTCAATTTAGTTGATTTCAGTTTAAAAAAAAGATTATAAAATAGTAAAAATATTTTTAAAAATTGGATTTGGGTATATATATGGTATTTTAAATGATTGAGAAGGGTAAATTTCATATTTCAATATTATATCGGGTAAATTCTGTCATAAAGAGGTAACATAAGGGTCTTTTATTTCAAGTATTTTAGTTGCATGATGAATTTGGATCTATTGTACTGAAAGGTGAAGTTATAACGATGAGACTCGAAACTATCTTATTTCTTACTTGAGAAGGCTCTCTTATGATAGTTCCTAATTCTTTGCTATAATGTTAGCTTTTTTTAGTCAATGTTGACCGATTTAATAATGAAAGTTACTTTATTTATATCAATTTATTTTTTAGTCATCTTTACACAATTAGTTTTTTTTAAAGACTTTGGTTGTTATTGAATAACTTAGATAAGGTGGAATCTTGTGAATATATGTAAGTGAGTTTTGGGTTGTTATCACAATAAAATGTTTGTGATTATTATTTTGAGACTAAAGCTTCAATAGTTAAATGTAGTTAGGGCGTGTTCGGCACGGAGTTTTTGGGAGCGTTTGAGAGCTTCTAGCGTTTGACAAAACGTTCCGTTTTGAACAGAAAGCCTTGTTTGACACTACAAGCTTCTAGCGTTTAGTTTAAACAAAACGCTCCAAATCCAAATATTACTTCATGTAGCGTTTAAGAAAGCGATACAAGCTACAAGTTACCCGCTACCTGCTAATTTTGCCGAACACGCCCTTAAGGAATGTTATTTTAGTGAATATTATTTGAAACTAAAGGTTCACAGTTAAAAGGTGTTGTTACATTGGCGAATATTGTTTGAGATTAGTAATGTAACGACCTCCACATCAATACATAAATAAATAAAATATTTGTTTTAATATCCATTTGCAAACACTCCATGACCAAAATAGTGCATAGATGCAAAAGCAAATAACATATTTCAGTCAATGTATAGATACATGCCTTCCAACCCCTGCAAAACAACATATTTCAGATAATGTATAGATCCATGCCTTCCAACCCTTGTAAAACGGAGAAATTTTTACTGGTTTATTAGATAATAATATAAAGGATTTATCAAATTTACAACTTATTTATGTTAACTAATATAGTTATGTAAGTTTTAACTTTTTTTTTGGTCAAGTTGTATATAATTAAATGAAACTCTTACCATCTCGTGTGTATATAAATGATCGAATTTTATAACAACTTCAATAATAACGATATAAATTGATTAAAATGAATTTCCTTATATATTTGGACAAAAATTTGAAGCTTCACATAAACAATTCATTTTAAAAAAAAAAAGTAAAACCATCAGATAAATGGTGCAACTACAAAATTTGTAATTTACTGTAGTATGTTAAATGTATACAAGTAGATTTTAAAATTGTTATAAAGATGCTTGTTTGTTTTTTTCAGTATAGAATATACAGAGATCACATCACATTTATATTTTGATGGTGTTGTCCAACCAATCTCATCTCATTTCATCATCACCCCCAGGCCCCAAACCCCTCACCATCGGTTGAGCACTATGCAGAAATTCACACCCAATCCATAATCTTGAATTAAGAACCAAATCAGTACTGCTTCAACTTCAAATTTCACTCGACAATGATGATAACCTCCTCTTCATCTTCGTCCAATTCCGCAGTAGCAGCAGCACCGTCGCCATTAATCCCGACAATCATTCTACTCCTACTATGTCTTCCTGGTCTCTTTTACTTAGCCCCACACATCCTCCCTCCCCCGCCAACACCACCCATCTCCTTCCCCGAGGAACTTGAAGATCTTTCCCTTTTCCGGAGGGCCGCTGCCGTTGAATCAAACGCAAACAACCCATCTAGACCTAAATCCCATCTCGGATCCACCAATTCTAAACCCAAAATCGCCTTCCTCTTCCTCACAAACTCCGACCTTCACTTCGCCCCTTTATGGGAACGGTTCTTTAATGGCAACAAATCAAATCGTCATCTCTACTCTTTGTATGTTCACGCCGACCCAACTGTGAAGACCAAAATCAAAAGCCCTGGTGGGATTTTTTCTGAAGATCGATTCATTACTGCTAAGAAAACTCGTCGTGGAACCGCCACTCTCGTCTCCGCCGCTCGTCGTCTCCTTGCCACCGCACTACTCGACGATCCTTCTAACGCGTTTTTCACGCTTATCTCCCAGCATTGCGTACCCCTTCACTCTTTCAACTTCTTTTACGATACCCTTTTCGAAGTTAAATCGCATCAAATAGCCGAATTGCGACATTTGAAGTACAAAAGCTTCATCGAGATAATTTCCAAAGATCCCAATATTTTGGACAGGTACAATGCCAGAGGGAAAGGCGTGATGGTTCCCGAAGTTCCATTTAATAAATTTCGAATGGGTTCACAGTTCTTTACGCTGACGCGGAGGCACGCACTGCTGGTGGTCAGTGATCGGCGGCTATGGAAGAAATTCAAGCTGAATTGTCTGAGGCCGCAATCGTGTTACCCTGAAGAGCATTATTTTCCAACATTGTTGTCCATGGAGGATCCAGAAGGGTGTACCGGATATACACTGACTCGTGTGAATTGGACTGATAGTGTTAACGGACACCCACATACATATTACCCGCCGGAGGTGTCGCCTGAGCTCATCTACAAGCTGCGACAGTCTAATTTCACAAACTCTTACATGTTTGCAAGAAAGTTCTCATCGGATTGCTTGCAGCCATTGATGAACATGGCCACGGAAGTCATTTTCCGGGACTGAATTCTTTTGAGTTTTCTGGTAATCCCCTCACATTTCTATTTGATCTTCTATACTTAGATGTGGTTAAACAGCTATAACTGGGAATGCACTGGTAGATTATTTCATGGGAGTTGTTGATCAAACATGATAGATTCGCTATATGTGCTGATAGAAAGTGACACTTTTAGGTGTGATTGCCGTATGCTTATGTTCTTTAGTGTGACTCATTTGTCTCTTGTCTTTGTTTAGCATCATCACTTTCTGGGGTTAGGCAATGAATAAAATAAAATACATTAATATCAAGTAAAAGTCTAAACGAAAGGCCAATTTTTGGTCCCTAGTAATTAATATAGGTGTCTGTTTGCTAGGCTTTGCTTGCTTAAATTGTTTGAATTTGTTCAAGATAGCGTAATTGGTTTACCCACATTAGGTTGGCATTTTGTGGGTGGGTGTTTAAAGAGAAAAGAAGTTCTTATATTTGATATAATAGTGGTAGTTTAAGGTATACTATTAAAATAAAACATTTATGCTTATAAAATAGGGAGGTGGATGATATGATTGTTGTTACAAATCTCATTTTGTAATGGGAAATTTTGAGAAAGAAACTATGGTTGAAAACATCCCCTTTGGAAGATATGCCAAATACTGAAAAATGTGTCTACCCATAGATTAGAATATGGGTAAAGATAGTCAGCAGTTTGAACTCATAGCTACACCAAGTAAAAAATAAAAAGCATGATAAACCGTTGTGCAAAATGCAGGTAACCTATTTATCGATTTAGCCACTTGACTATTCTCTAGTGATAAATTATTATACTTTTCTGACTGTTTTCAAGTCATAAATCATTTTTATTAGTTACCAGGTTTTTTGAAAAGGACAAAATACAGAAAGCACAACATACTTTCACCAATCTATCGATTTAGTCATTAAATTCTTATTAGTTTTTATAATTATCATAATATGATAACAAGTTTGGTAGCTAAATTGATAAAATGGTGAAAATACGGTATGCTTCTATTTATTTTGCCATTATATATATTTCTCTGTAGTGATTAAAAAGTTATACTTTTGTCGGTTTGAAAATACAATTTTCCTCAGTTACCCTGTTCTGAAAAAAAGTGAAAAATATAGAAAAGCGCAACTCTCACCATTCTATTAGTTGAGTCAATGCAGTATCATTTTTTATGTTATACAGAAGATAGTTAAGTAGCTAAATCGATAAAACTTTAAAAGCGCGATGTGTTTATCTATATTCCGTCCAATATGTTTTTTAGTTTATATCACTTAGTTATGTGAACCATAAGATAACTTCTTTCTCTGACTCGTTACTTACACATAAATATAAATATAAATATAAACACAAACACAACTGCATCCTCAACTTTTTAGGATCTTCGAATTCTGGTACCCATACAAAAATTGGGAGCAACAAGTGACCTAACTTGTTTAGAATTTTGTATCAGGAAGATAACTCTACTAACCCTATGCTAGAAAACTGAGTTTAAAGATGACAAACTAGTTTGAGTTATAAATATTCTGGCTAAGTATGTTACACTTGAGATGTTCACTATTTCTTCTTGTATTCACAGCCATACACCCAAGTGCTACTGGAAACTGTAAAAAAAATGGCTAGTTAAAGGGATTCATGCCTAAATCTCAAAAGTTAAAAACCAGCACAAATGCTCAAGCAAGAAGAAAAAGAAGAAGAAGAAGAGGTGTTGACAGAAGACAATGAGCAAACAAAGATGTGGGGTTTGGAGTGTGTAACATAAGCTAATCATCCTCTGCTAGTACTAATTACTTGGAGGTCGGTGTTGTCCTTAAAGTGGATTTTTTATTTTATTTTTTACTTTTACTTAACTTGCACTCAGTTTCTCCTAAGTTTTCTTACTTTTACCTTCCATGTTTCTTGTGTAATTCTATTTCTTTGACAAAATTTTGAAGTTAAGTTACCTATTTGTTCATTATATATGTTGTAAATAGTTTGATTTGTTTATCTTATTATTTTGTACGGAGTGTTTTTTTTTTCTTTTTTCTTTTTTCTTTTTACAGATAATAGCAAAATGTAAGAAGTACACTACATTGCCTATATTGGTAGCGAAACGCAAATACATTGCTATTATGTGTAAAAGAATATCTATAACTAGGTTCCTATTATTTGTAAAAGATTACAAGTATGTTGCTATTATAAGTAAACACATTGCAACTATGAGTAAGCAATAAAATATAGAGCTATTATGAGTAAAAAAAAATGTAGGTATGTTGCTTTTATGGGTAAATAAAATGTTAGTGTGTTGTTGCTAGTATGGGTTAATTATATTATACTACCCATATTGGTGGCACAAGTAAAATACGTTGTTATTTCCTACATTTTGCCTTTTTTTCCTTTATCTCTTCCATGTTTCTACATTCCATTTTTTTCACAAACTTTTGCAGTAAAGCTACCTATTAGTTCACTACATATGCTCCAAATAGTTCACGACTTTAATTATCTTTGTTAATTTCTATGGGTAATTTGATTTAACAAAGTATGGTATGGGATTTCTATTTTTTCGTTGGGCAAATAAGAGGATATAACAATAGGGTTTAGTCTTTTTACCAATATTTACCTGTAATAGCAATGTACCTTCCATACTTCCATTTTTTTTTCTGATAGTAGCAATATGTAACACATAATAACAACGTATTTAAGACTTGTTTTTGAAATTTCATAATTTTATTTTTCTTGTTCGGACGAGTCAGTAATATGTTTTTTTTTATCAAAATAAAAATACCTTAATATGACATGAAGTTAGTTTGGAATGACCAATTCTGGATAAAATTATCGTTTTCTCAAAATACAAAAACTTAGATAAAGTTATCATTTTCTCAAAATACAAAAGCTTGGTTGTTTTTATAAGTTCATCATATTCACGTTAATATCCATATTTATAAGAATAGCAACTTTATAGTTGTTCAAGGTAATTTTTGGCATTTGTGACCATTTAACCATTTTTGGACGTGTATAAATAGACGTTGATTGTTTGGTTAAAGCATAAGTTATATATAATTTTAATGAAAACCTGGTTAAAAAGGATCATATAAGGCTTGATATTTTCAAGACCAGACCTTGTTAATAATACATACGAATAATTGGAAGATTATTATACTTAAACATTACAAGAGTTGATATAGCTTTTGTTGTACAACAACCATTACAATTCATTATCTTTAAAGGCTTTTGGTGATGCTGATTGGGCAATGTCATCTTGACACTAGATAGTCAATTATTGGGTTTTGTGTATTTTGTTTTGGAGATTCTTTAATCTCATGGCGTTCCAAGAAACAAACCACCTTGTGCAGATCGTCTATAGAAGCAGAATATTGTGAGCTTTTATGGCTTAAGAAAAATTTGAAAGATCTCCATCTTCAACATGATAGTCAAGTTGATGTTTTATGAAGACGAGGTGTCATACAAATTGCATATAATCTTACATTCAATGAACGAATAAAGCATATCAAAATATGTTTTCATTTTATTCAACAAAAGGTAGTTGGTCAATCCAGCTTATTCTTATTTGTCATGCTTTTCATCTTCCAGACATGTTTACAAAACCATTGTCAGCTTCCAATATTTTTCCTTTTATGTCCAAGACGCATTTGAATAACATGTATGCTTCCAATACATTTTCATTTTTAGGAGAATATTAATTTATAAAGGCATTTATGTAAATTTAGCATATAAAGGTTAGTTTTTGTAATTTACATTGTGAGTTTGTTAATTGGTTAGTCATTGCATAATTAGTTGGTTAGTTCCTTGCTTTGTATATAATTCATATATTAGCTTCCTTGTAACTCAATTCATTCAATGAGAAATCAATCAAACATTTCTCTCATCAAATCCTTCAATTTGTAATTACAGGGGCATGTCCTTTTATCTGAAAGATCTTTATGTCCAATACTCATTATAGAATGATATTTGCTAATGACATATGATTTTATAGGGTCTCACCTTATAACAAAGTACTACTAATTGATTATTTATTAGAGTAATTTAACTATTAATAAATATTATCAAAACTTGTATTTAATTGGAGAATTATTATTTTATGAAAAATAATATTTTAACAACTAGTTGGGAAATTATTATTTCTTGGAAATAAAAATAAAAGAGAACAAAATTAGTCACATTTATTTGGGCACTTTGAGTAACCATCTAGTTGGAACATGTAACTACTAGTTAGTAAGAAAGAGTGCAACACACTTTTGGCCCATACCTCCTTCATGAAAGTCATATGTATGTATTTGGATGTGAGACTTGCTTGCATCACTTGCATTTTACATCTCATACCTTCTTACACAATCATACTTCCTTACTTAATGAGAGATGGTCCTTTCTTACATGTAAAGTGATATATAAAGAAGAGTAAGGGATAGAAACTAGCTAGTTTTTTTCTCACAATTATCTTCTTCTTTTTCTCTCACAAAACCGTGAGCATCCTTGCTCCATTCCCTCTCCTCTCTAGCAAATTGTTGTGTAGAGTTTGAGTGCTTTTGAGTTGCTTCTCCTTAAGACTTATTTGGTATATGTCTTAAGGCTTAAGAAAAACTTATATACAAGTGACGACTAGCATCTTTTGTGGTTTACTCTTGCTTGGTGGATACTTCTAGAGAAGCTCTACTTTGAGTTGTTTGTCATCTTCATCAACTTCCAACCTCCCGAGAGGAATCAAATTCTTCAAAGGTTATTTGTAACATTCTTCATCCAGGTAATTTACAATTTTGACCCTTAGTATGAATTTTATTTGCAAAATTGGTCTTATGGCTCTTTAAGTGGAAAAACATGGTTGCCTAGTACGCTGAGCGTACTCCTGGTACGTTGGGCGTACGTGGCTGATGGCCGAACCCTAATGTTTAGGGTTTGGACCCTATTTAAGCATCATTAACTCCCAAGACCTCTTCCTCTCACCAACCTCTATTGCCCACTTCGTCCCTTATAAAACCTAATCCCCGTTTATGGTGTTTTAAGCTCATTTTTGGTGTTTGGTGTCCACTCTTGAAGGAAGGAAGCCATTGGAAAGCAATGAAGGAACTCCAAGCTTTATAGATTTGCGTCTTACACTCCTTGAGCAACCTCCAGAAGGTATAAAGGTCTGAACTTGATGATTATATTTCTAGATCTTTCTAATATTAGAAGTTATGTACTTTTAGTCCCATATTCTTGGTCTAAGTGAGTATGGATTACTCTAGACCAAATGAGTTGTCCTTTTGGACGTTTTAGAGTGTCTTGGGTTATAAAAATGGAATCTTGATTGTTCATATCCCTCAATGCATGCTCTTTAGTGGTTTAGAGCCTTGTGTTAAGTTAGGATTTTCGTGTTAGGCACTTAACAGCCATTTGGAAACTTTATGATTTGGAACGTTATTTGGGACTAGATCTAGTCTTTGGACGAAAGGACATAAGATAATAAGCACTTAGTGAGAAAATTTCCATATGACAAAGTACGTTGGCCGTACTTTTGAGTACGATGCGCGTACTCCTTTGGAGCCCCGTTTCTGGATTGGTGAGTACGCCATGTGTACATGCTAAGTATGTTGGGCGAACTCATAACAAGTTGAATCAGTTGACTTTTTGACATTTGACTTTGACCAAGCTTGACCTAGGGGTATTTTGGGTATTTTGAGCCGAGTTTTGAGATTTGGTCAATGTTTGTTCCATAAGTGATCTGTAGGGTTGGTATTCGGAGCCACGTGATGTTCAGCTATTTGTCAGACTGTGAGGTGAGTTTTCCTCACTGTACTTGTGGGTCGAAGGCACTAGTGCCAACCCACTAGGTTATGTATCCTAGTATATAGGATGTTGTTATGCTCATATGTTGTAGTGATTTGTTAAATCTGTATCCTGGTATATAGGATATTGCTATGTGGTAGTGATCTGTAGATCTGCTTGTTTGCATGTTGACTATTTATATGTTTATCTGTTGCATATTTCGATATTGTATGCTTTTGGGTTGAGGCTTTACTGTAATGTGCGTGAGCCAACAGATAGGGGGTATTCCAGACGATGGATGTGGACTCGAGGGTATACCAGTCCGATGACTGATTGGAGCTGTTGTATATAGGCATTCCAGCCTGATGACTGATTAGGCCGAGGGTATTCCAACCCGATGGATATGGGCCCAAGGGTATTCCAGTGCGATGACTGATTGGACCCAGCATGCGTGATTGTATATGTTATGTTGTGTGGGGTACTTTGGGGGAACTCAATAAGCCTTAGGTTACAGTTTCAGTTTTATGTTTCAAGTACTTCAGATGACCGGGGGAAAGCTAAGGCGTGATCGTGCACATCCTTCTGATTTTATGATATTTGATTTTGGGATACTCTGATTCACGATTATTACTTTTGGGAACTATGTGTTGTAAACAATTATGGTTTTTGGTTGGGTTTCAAAAATGAAAATTTTACCTTGATTTTTGTAATGTTACAAGTTGGTATCAGAGCCCTGGTTTGAGAGAATTGGAGGGGTATTCGTGTAAATCCAAACTCAAACTAAGGATCTAAAAAGGGTTTTCAAAAGTAACCAAGGAAGGATGAGATGTGTACGATCAAATGGAGCAAGCAAGTTCACCCCAAGCTACCCACACTGTTATTTGTTATTGATGATTATGATAGAACTGCATGCTAGTGGTAGGCTAGGGATCTTCAGGAATTACATGATAGAATTGTCTGATGTCTGATGTCTGATGCCTGATACGCCTAGGAGGACTTCTAGTATGTTAGATGAAATTAACATCATTACTATAGTTGCTTAGTGTGTGCATCATAGTTGTACATAACTAAGATTCTATAGACTAAGAATGTTTGATTTAGCCTTATTTTCTGTTCCATGTTTGGTTGTGGGCTTATGGTAGAATAAAGTATTCGACTGTCTATGAGATCCAGTGTTATGTATGATTAGCATGCACGAGTGGTTACAAGGTTTGTGGAAGTTTAATGAGTGAGTATGTGGGTGTAGCATGCTAGTTGAGGAAGGATTA